AAAAAAAAATCAGGCTGGAAGTAGGAGGAGGAGGGGGGAGAAATCAAGGGACCTGGAGAGTGTTCAAGTCCCAGCAAGGGACAGGGATGTAAGTGGCTCCTGGCAGCCCCGTCCGGATGAAGAGCCGGGGTGGCGGCACTCGAAGGCTGGCAGAGCGCGCGGCGCTGATGGCAGCGAGGGCGAGAGAGAGGCACTCACCTCCTAAAACAGTGACACCTGGGCGAGCCACCCTCCCTCCCCAGCCTGGCATCACAGCTTCCCCAGCTCACAGAGCGGTTTTGTGGGACCCACCAACACCCTGGAGCAGCGAGGAGCTTGGGGATGGCACGGCCACGCTGGAGCCCTGCGCCCCAAATTGACCTGGCGCCTGCTTTGATTAAAAGCTGTGAGCCCGTCGTGTTTAACGTCCAAATCCACCAAAATTCACCCTTTCCAAGCTAAAAGTAGCTGCTCAGTCCAAAATTATGAGCAAAACAGAATAAAATAATATTTTGTTTGGACTCAAAAAAGTAATTTATTGAAAACAAACGTTACAAATCTATTTTATCTTCCCCCTGGAGCCTTGCAAAGAGAAGCAATATTCAGCTGATGTAGTTTGTGTGTGACCACAGTTGTACATTAATCTCGGTGATTTAAGCTGCAGTTGTGCCTAAATGCTCTTGGACAGGCACAAAGTGCCACCATGGCAGGGAGGGGACACTGAGACACCAAAACCTCCTCATCCTGGAAAGGGTGGGGGCTCAACTCCTTCATTATCAAGGTCTCCAACCAACCTTGAGCACCTCCAGCTGCCTGGTTTTAAATACACCACTTTTTCCAATCCATACCCTTCCAAAATCACCACTGTATCATCTCCTAACACCTCTGCTACTGAAACTATCTTGCAATTTTTCCAGGTTTTTTCAATTCCCTAGTGTAGCATCCCTAAATTTTTTGCCTGATGTAGACACCAGCCAGAAGGCCAATATTGCTGTGTTATAAGTGACATGGGAAAGAGTCCCAAATCATGTCAGCCAGGGACATAAACAACTTAATTTTTAATCCTTTCCAGTGATATCACTGTTTCAGGAGTGAAAAGAATAAGATATTATTTCAGCCATTTGATCTTCTTATTTTGGATATGCACTGGATTACTCAGAGGTTTTAATCCAATTAGGGTTGCCTCTCTCAGCCTAGACAAAAACCAGTGGGGAGATCCTTCTCATTTAAGGACATAACTCACCTTAAATAAAGAAAGAAACTGATTCATCTATATTCCTCACATACAGTTTTAAACCTGATACTCTTCAATACTGATCTTCAGAGAAATTGGTTTGCGTTTTGCCTTTTTTTTCTTTTTTTTTTTTTTCAGAGAATAAGATGTAAATCTACTGCCATCAACTTTGTGTTATTTCAAAGCTCTAAGAAGAAAACCACCTGGTATTTTTCTTCAGCCCCTCTATATGCATATGCAAATCCAACAGCTTCAGGATCTGCCAAACTATTTACCAAGTTTGTCAGGGAAACAGCCTCCGAAACAATCTTCTTTCAAAATAATTTTCTGTGATTCTAAATTCTTCCTCTGAACGCTATTTTTGTCTCTGAAAGCATATTCACCCTTGCAGTCTGACTGCTTGTTAAGGAAAAAACAACAAGAAAAACACTGAAATCTCACTGTTGGCCTATGTTCTACTGCCAGTGTTCAAACATCAGGATCCCAACAGTATCCCAGCGCCTGAAAAACATCTCCCTCTCTTTGAAATCTGCCTGGGTTGTGGATGAGAAATTGCCAGTAGAAATTACAACATTTGCCATGACTGAGATGGGGTGGGTTTTTGCATTTGGATTGAATGAAACCATGGAAAATGTTGTTAGTAACAACTCCAGTGTTATAAAAAATCACCAAGTGACAGATTTCGAGATTAAAAGGAAATATTAAAAATCCCCTTCAATATTTAAAGCTTACTTAACTAGTAGCACTTCACTTGACACTGACTCATGTCATTTTCTTTCATTCCTCTTTTGATCCATGCAAAGCAGTTACACGATTGCAAATATCTTATCATGTCACCTTCTCATATGGATATGAGATGAAAGAATATTATCTCAAGCTGAGTGATAAGTCCTGTACCAAAACTACGGGTGGAATCTGCACAATCTGATGCTAAATGGGAGCAGGGGGAGCACTGGGCATTTTTTTTTTTCCCTGATATTCTCTGTTGAGGATAGTTGAGAGAAAGGGTCTTATTTTAATAGGTTATTCAAGGCTCCTAATTAACCATTGAGATTTTACACCAGGTTAGCTGAGCTTCTTGTCAAGGCACAGGGATCACTCAAATTGCTTTTATTTGCATGATTACGAAGTGGCAAACCATCAATACTCCTTCACCTCTGATTTTAAACATGCAAAGGGCATCAAAAGGCCTATTAACATGAAATAAAATTAGCCCTCATCTGTTTTATTTTAAAGGGACTCTTCCCTCCCCCTTTTTCTCCCCCTCCTCCTCCTTCCTTTCTTATTTAGGGAACTGGGTTCCTTTCCCATACTTGGTATGTAGTACATCTTTTTTTCTCAGAGTTAATTCTCCAAGTCTGGTCTGTCAGCCAGTATAAACAACACTTGATGAATGAGACTCAAGGTGTTTAGTCACCTGAAGCAGCTGTTTGAAGTAACTCTACACACAGCCTGAGGCCCGTGTTTTCACAGCTGTGGGAACTCTTCAAAAGCTTTTCCTCTTGGCCTGCTCCTTTGCTGTGGCTTTAGACTCTTAGCGCAAAATCTGGACAATTTCAAAAGGGCACAATGAAACTAGAGACAGCAATTTTTGATGATTTTGGGCCAAAAAAAGGGCCTAGAATAAATAAATGAAGTACATTTGAAAGTGCTTTACCTAGGTGGGCTATATATCTAAGAACTGCTCGCTCTACATGTGCCCATGTGCTCACTTATAAAGGGGACATGGGGGGGTTCAAGCCCCGCTCTCTGTTTACAACTATTTTCACTTTCTCCTCTGATGCGGCAGATTAAAAACTAAATGTTTATGGGCCTGGAAAAGCGCATACCTGAAATAAACTCAGCAAGTTTCTCAAAGTTGGAAAGCTCTCCTAACTCATAAACAGACCTGCAGTTGATTGGTGATCTGTGCTCGCCGCTGGGAAGCTTTGGAGAATTGGCCTCGTGGAGGTCGTGTGATTGCTTCTCCTGGCTCCGGGGCTGCGCCTTCATGATGTGCCTCACTGTGTCCGTGTAGGTAGCCAAAGAAGTGATGGGCCCAAATAAAAAATAATAATAAACCAAAAATTGAGCAAGAATTGGCGCTGAGCTGGCAGGGAAATCGCAGTTTTGTGAACTCAGGACCCGATCGCGCAGCTGGGCTGAAATATTATATGCGGAATGAGGTCATGGACCAGAAAATGGATTTTATTTGGAGGTGGGAGTGGACTGCAAGCCTCAAAGAGTGGTGATGAATCCGCTGGAAAATCCTGAGGGCTAAATGGCCGGGTTGTACCTCCCCTGGATGGACACATAGATCTTCATGGGTTCAGGCAGGTATTGCTCAGCTCCATGAGTAACAGTGGGGCCACCACACCAGCACCACAAGGTGAGCAGCGAGCATCCCATGGGAAATGGACATGGAAAATAACTCCAGCAGAGCACTGACGTGAGCCCCAGGAAGGGATGTGAGTCGACAGATTTTATCGGGGAGGTTGTGTCAGGTGGATGCTTAACCCACTGAATAACGCTTTCCACTCCTGAGCTCACCCAAACAAGGAAACACGGATACATCCAACCTCAGCTCTCAAACGTGTCCAACAAAAGGCATCAGGAAGCTCGCCAGGAAGAGTGAGGATGGGACAAACTACTCCTGAGACAGTAGAACAAACATGCTCCAGCCGTAGCTGTTTTAGCACCACATGCCTCCCACACATTGCTCCATAAATCCTTCTTTTCTTGCCTCTCATTTTCTCCAGTTTACAAAAATTCTCATGTTAACAGAAAACGTTTAGTTTAAATTGATCCTCAGCCATCCTTGGCATGTATTACACACGCTCACTCTTTTATGTTTTATAGCTTATGTCATCCTGTATTCATCATTTAGTGAAGGCCTTATATTTTTGGCTTGCCGTTGCCCCTTATCAGATGATAAAATGTTCCCTCAGGAGGGAGAGAATTTTTATGAATTATGACGATAGTATAGAAAATAAATTACTTATTGGCACTACAGTCAGACTATACATGGAAATGTGTTCTTCGAAAGTTTAGAGAATCAGAGTATCACAGAATCCTGGAATGGCTTGGCTTGGAAAGGACCTCAAGGACCACCAAGTTCCAATCTCCTGCCGTGGTCTACATGAGAAAGGTGAGCGTGCCAACACTGTCACTACTCCCAGGGAAGGGAATTCCCTGAGGTGAGAGTGGCCATGGGGTGACAAGGATGGTGTTTCTGCCAGGTCACTGGTTTAGGATGAGCCCTGGGGACGAGCTCTCCTGGGGTCTCAGCACAAAACTGCCAGTTCCCTCATGATTTTCAGTTTTCTGCATCAGAGGTGATGGAGTTTCCAGCTACTTTGAGAATAGCGAGGCATAAACATTTACAAAATAGATAATGAGAATTTGAACAAAAATAAGACTTTAAAATATATTCTATGGCATTGCCCACACCTGGATGCCCACAGATCCCTGTGTTTTTTTATGATATGAAGGTTAGATGGTCCAAACTACATCCTGGTCATTGAGTTCACCCTTCTAATTTGCTCCCACCCCATCCTCACTCCTGACCTACCCCGAGAGGTTTCGAACAGCCAGCACCAAAGCACATCTTGTACTACCAGAGACACAGCTGGGCTGGTCCCTTCTCTGCAAAAACATGACATAAATTCTGACACTGGTCACCATACATGTCAACAGAGTCAAACTTTGCTAATGAACCACTGCAAAATTCCAAATAAATAGACAAACCCGCAGCTGAGCAGCATATTGTAACTCTTCCCACCATGCACACATAACAATTATCCTCAGAGAGGCTTGCTGTCCTTCTCATCAGCAGCAAATTAAAGAAGAAGAAAAGTTTTAGGTAGTTGAAGATGTTTGGTTAATCTTAACTAGAAAAGCATTTACACTGCCAGAGCCTGGAACTACAAAGAACAGCCCACGAGCAGCCAGGGGAGTGTTCTCCTCAGGCAGGTACTCCAAGACAGAAAATGGCTTAATTTAACTTTTTAGGTAAATTCTGTTCAGATGAGTGAGGATTCCCCGGCAGCATCTGTGCAAGGCCACTCACTTCTACTCATCTCCCAGTTAGAACCAGTTCTGCCTTTTGATTTTGCTCTTTGAAAAGCAGTTTCTCAACCCTGGCCTAATAAACAACCAGTGACTCCCAACGCAGATTCGGGGTTTTGTCAGAGCCATGGGGCTCTCAGGGGGACATTCCTGGACAGCACCACAGCCAAGGAGGATGCCACCTTCACCATATGGACTTCTCTTGACCATGATCTCTGAGTCCCTTGGCCAGCCAGCCCAAGGGCTGAGCCACCTTTTGAGTTGGAATAGCTTTTAAGGGATATAGAGCTCCAAGGCTTATTTTTTTCAAGGGAAGCTAAATATTTCATACAAGCTGAACAGCAGAACCCTAAGCCCCATATGAACAGTAAGGTAAACATTCCCTGGAGCATTTTATGAGTTCCTTCTCACCACAAATGGCAGCATTTTGCAACGCCATCTAAGTGAAATACATTCAACAGGTCACCTATGCAGCGTGATGACTCTGGGATCCATTTGCTGTGACAGAGCTGTGCCCTTCCAACCTCGTCAGCTGGATCATTTTTGAGGTGATTTTATAGAGTTTTTAGATGAAAAGAATGAAATCTGGGAGGACTGGCTTTAAAGCAATAATATACTTTTGTTATGCAATATTATACCTCCATTAGCCAATATTCAAAATAGTTGAATGCATAGGTAATGGCAACTATATATAGAAATGGTATTTTGTCTTTAAAGAAGTGAAACCCATTAAACTTTATGTGATGAGATGTTAAAGTAAGAATTGTTAAGAGAACCTTACTCCACATATGCATGTAAATGGCTTTATGGGGATATCCTGTTGGAGATGATGGGTTCCTTATGAGCAACAGCTCCTGAGCAAAAGGTTCCCTATCCTGTAAACACAAAAATGTGAGACACAGCTGGGAAGTTTGCCTACAGGCAAGGTTTCAGGTGAGTAAAAGGAGCAGCCAAAGTTTGAGGAAGAGAATTCAGGAAGACCTATCAGTACCTTTGCCCGGAAAAGAGAAATGGAGAAATAAAAAAAAAAAAAAAAGAAAGAAAGGGAAAGAAAAAAAAAATAGGGGGAGAAAAGGAAAAAGAACGTAATTTACTGCCTAACTTCTAAAAATGTGGTGCAATATTTCAGGCTGAACACGTATGTGTACATATTATATATAACATGGTGGTTATTAGAGACGCCAGAGACAGCACAGTGCAAGGTTTTTCTTCTCTCTGTCTCTAAAACATTTTCCCAGGTTAAGTACAATTCCCATGGCCATCATAATGGTTCATCTGGCTCTCAGGCTGGGTAGTGGTACTGTGCGTTGTGTTTGGCTGTGAATACCCCTGCACCCAATGATTTCCTTTTCCATGACATTTCTGAGAAACAAATACTGGACCTGATTCACGTCCAGCCACAAATATGAATCAAAACCCAACACAGAATTGGATACACGCTGGAAATTTGATAACTTGTGAATATGAATTTACTCCTGTAGCTGCTGAGCTGCTAGTGGAAATCTGGAGCATGCTTGGAATTGCAATTTTTGCTGTCCAAAAACGTGCATAGCTTGTTCCCTGTAATCATGTTTCTGATGAAGTCAAAGGCAGAAATCCCACTGAAAGGGCTGGGGAGGAAGGACTTTGTTTTAAAGACGTACACTTTATGGAAGCTTTCCTACTTGCTGTCCTTCCACTGTAAAATATGAGTCAGTCTAATCCCTTTCTTCTTCTGTGTATTAATAGAGACTTGAAAAAAAGAAGTTATAATTTTTATAAATTGGAATGTAGTGGCCCCTGTTTTGTAACACTTGCCAAAGCATATGGGGTCAAACCCAAACAGTCACCCATCCTGGCCAGTTACATGTCTTATTTAAACAATAAATTAGTGTCAAAGTTTCCAGTAATTAATTTCTTTACCAATTTACATATTTCATTCCTTTCTTTTTTTTTTTTCTTTTTTTTTTTTTTATGTCCTTTCATGTTTTGAAACTGTAACTCACTAACATCTATTTAAAGCAACCTCCCGTACCCGGTGATTGATGTTAGATACAACAATTACAATGCCAGTACCAGGGATAATTCTTTGCAGATGTTGTCAAATTACAGGTTAAATGAGGAAAAAAGTTCTTTTCTTCCGGCCACCCACTCTAGCTCCCTTGAAATAGGTGCACATACTGTATATCCTGTGCTGTAGGTGCAGTAATTCCCTGCCCAGTCACTCATCTGGTTTAAATGACTTCCATTTGCCATTTCAAAGGATGACAGAACACTGTGTTCAGATTGTTTTGCAGGTACCAAAAACGCAGTAACTCTGCTTTGTGTTTTAGCTGGCAGAGAGAAGTGAGCTCGATCTGGCAAGGCTGTGCTGGTTTTCCCCTTAATATAAATAACATTTGCCATTGTGGAGAAAAAAAAGAAGAGAATTGGAGGTGGGGGGGTGGAGAGAATGGAGAAAAAAAGAAGAGAAAAAAAAAGCGAGGTTAGATTATTTTAACCCTTCATAAACCTTTGCACTCTTTGAGATAAAACAGGATCCTTGTCTTCATGTTATAATCATAACAGTGTGTGCTTGGTGTTGACAGCAGAAAGATTGAGCACAGGTCCTGCAGTCTGGGGAGAGGTGATGAAACTTCTCCATTACCCATCCCTCGTAGCAGGAGAGCCAGGCAGGGTGACATTCCCCGAACACAGGAGAGGGAAGGGAATGAGCCATGAACAGAATGTGGAAAAAATCAAGAACAAGCTGAAGAACTGGCTCTGCCTGCCCTTGTGTGAGCTGGGATCGTGCTGTGCTCAGGGGGGGAGCAGAGTGTGCTGCTCCTGGGCTCAGCCAGCAAACCTGGCACAGCCCGCAGCCATGGCCAGGAGTGGGACAGCCATGGGTGTGTGACACCAAGGGGAGCTTGGCCACCTGGCACCAGTCCTGGGCACATTTGTTCCCTGGTGCCTGGGATGGCAGGGGCAGGTTTTGGTAGCAGGAGGGCTATGGTGGTGGCTTCTGGGGGGAGTTCCTGCAAGTGGAAGCTGAGGCAGATTTGCTGGTGGGACCTGGGACCCCACTTAGGACCCACAGTGGGGCAATTCCTCAAGAACTGACCCCATGGAAGGAATTCACAGTGGGGCAGTTCCTAAAGAACTGATCCCATGGGAGGTTCTCACACTGGAGCAGCTCCTAAAGAACTGATCCCATGGAAGCGACTCATATTGGAGAAATTACTAAACAATTGACCCTATGGAAGGCTCTCACATTGAAGCAGTTCCTAAAGAACTGATCCCATGGGAGGGACTCACATTGGAGCAGTTCCTAAACAATTGACCCCATGGAAGGCTCTCACATTGGAGCAGTTCCTAAAGAACTGATCCCATGGAAGGGACTCACATTGAGCAGTTCCTGAAGAACTGACCCCATGGAAAGGACCAACACTAGACCAGTTCCTAAAGGACTGACCCAAAGGAAAGGACTCACATTGAACATTTCGTAAAGAACTGCTCCATGGAAGGTACTAACACTGGAGCAGTTCCAAAAGGACTGACCCCATGGAAGGGACTCACATTGAGCAGTTCCTAAAAAACTGCCCCTATGGAAGGGACTCATACTGGAGCTGTTCCTGAAGAACTGACCCCATGGAAGAGATCCACACTGGAGCAGTTCCCAAAGAACTGACCCCATGGAAGGGATCCACACTGGAGCAGTTCCCAAAGAACTGACCCCATGGAAGGGACTCACAGTGGGGCAATTCCTGAAGAACTGACCCCATGGAACGTACTCATGTTGGAGCAGTTCCATGGAAGGGACTCACATTGAGCAGTCCCTGAAAAACTGACGCCATGGAAAGGACCAACACTGCAGCAGCCTCTTCCTAAAGGACTGACACCATGGAAGGGGCACACATTGGAGCAGCTCATGCAGAACTGTAGCCCAAGGAAAGGACTTGGAGAAATTAATGGAGGGCTGTCTCCTGTGGAGAGAAGCCCAAGTGGAGCAGTGGATGAGTGTGGAGACCAGCCCCTGAGGAGGAAGGAGCAGCAGAAACATCCAAGCACTGACCACAGCCCCCATTCCCTGTCCCCCTGCACCGAGTGGAGGAGGGAGAGAAAACTGGGAGTGAAGTTAAGCCCAGGAAGTGGGAGGTGTTGGGGGGGGGGGCATTTTTAGACTTAGTTTTGTTTCTCATTATCCTTCTCCAGTTTGATTGGTGATAAATTGACTGATTCCCCCAAGATGAGCCTATTTTGCCCATGACTGTCACTGTGAGGGATCTCTCCCTGTCCTTACCTTACCCCATGAACTTTTTGTTGTGCTTTCTCTGCCTTGCCCAGCTGAGAAACTGAGCAGGTTTGGTGGGCACCCAGTATCCCACCATGGCCAACCCACCCCACCTGGGAAGTTCCTCAGTTCCCTGATGAAAGGATGAGATTACATGAAAGGAGAATCACTAAAAATCCCGCAGTGGGAGCCACCGCAGGATGGGCCAAAGCATCTCCATGGCACAGGCACACCCCTTTGTCTCCCAGCAGACTCTGGAGCTGTCTCGGCATCCCCAGTGCCAGGTTCCTGCAGGCCTGCCATGCCTGAGCCCTAAGGCTTTGAATGGGATTTCCATTTTTAATTCTTTCCCTACATATTTCAGGCTCGTTCTCGCAGTGTACAGGAACGAATCCTGGCCCGCAGAAGGAAAACAGGAATAATTTACAAACAGAACCAGAGGACAGAAAACCAGGCTCTCACACTTCACACTTTTGGCCAGGGATTTGGATTTTTGTGTGGCCTTTTCCTCACTGCATCTTCCTTCCATGTGGGATCTACAACAGCAAATAGAATAAACCTGACAGGTAGGACAGACAGGCACAAAACACCTGTGGTAACCAGATATTGCTGTGGCCAAAAAGATCAGGGATGGGTGGAAATATATTGCCAGTTATTTGGGTGATGGTGGACCTCCCCACTGCCAATTTGTAATATCATCTGTTTCATAATAAAACCTCCTCTGAGGCCTCTGCACAACTGTGTGCGAGGTAACTGTTGCATGCTATTCCCTAAATAATTATGTTCTCTAAATTTTCACTAAATACTGCCTTTCTTTACTTTAAAACAGGGCTCTTTCTCCTCCTGGCTATGCCAACATGCATCCCGAGGTATCACCACCCCAGCCAGTTTATTTTTAACCTCCCAAGTTTAATAATTTTCTGAAGTGAGCTGCAGGGTGGTTTGTGAGTACTGAAGGCAGGAGCATGTGATTTGTGTGCTGAGCCTCAGTGTCTTGGCTTTCCAGAGGAAAGCACAGCTTGCTGATGAAGTTTGTGGTTTTCCTGTTTGTTGTCTGAAAAAAGGGGAAAAAAAAAAGTGTGTGGAGGTGGGGTGCCAGTGGGCAGAGCGGTGTCAAAAAGGAAAAAAAATTAAAGACCTAAAGATTTCTTTCCAAAGAATTAAGATGCTTGAGCCCCATTTGCTTGAGGGGTTGAAGAGGCTGCAGTGTCCTAAATGGAATAGAAGCAGAGATGCTGCTTTTTGAAGCACAGCCTCACGGTTTAAACAGCATTTGACCCAAAGTGCAATGGTCATGGGTGCTGCAAATGTGGCTGCAGCTGCTGGAAACTGAAGGGTTTTGGTCTGCCCCAAAGTGAAGCCAAAGAGCCTTTGCATGTAAAAGAATGTTTAAAGCTCTCCAGCAGCTTCTGCCCAGCCAAACAGGCAGTTTCTGTAAAAGGATCAAGAGCTTCCTGCCAGCCTCCCTCCCTCTGTTTTCTTTTATTATACACTTTTGCCACATTAAGTGATTTTAAGACCAAAGGGCTTGCTTTCCTGGTAAAAGAGGGTTGTGAAACAGGAGGGGTGTCTAATCTGTGACTTTCCGGGGTGTAGGATGTGTAAGGCTTGGTTAAGGATTTGGTAACGGGGTGGATATTCCCTTCTGTGAACAGATTTACCCAAACCAGTCATTATTTACTGAACTCTTTTAAAAAATGTAATAATTAACATGTTTCTGATTTTAT